CCCAGGGCAAAATATCTTAATGAAAAAATTAGACAACATTAAAAAGTGTTCCAAAGATGGTTTTCTGCTGTTTCTGAAAATTCTATCTATATTTTTCTCAACTCATCTTACTCATACCCTACATAGCAATAAAGTCATGTAAAACAACCAATATCCCAAAGGGGCTTATCATAAAACAAAATTAAGAGTCCATACACATTATACCATTAATCTCTGATTACATCAGGCTAAGCATAAACTTTATTATTCTTAATGTTTTTCTTCTATCCTTTTAGGTGATTTCATTATTCCTCTGGATGACAGAGTTTTTAATAAGTCAAACTAAAAAATACATTCTAAATAATTCTAAGAAGTAAAGTGATTCAAAAACAACTATGTTAATTAATGGGTGGGTTTACTTTAGTCAAGTAAAGTTGGATTTGAACACAGTCTTACTTACCACAATATTCTAGTCATGTAAGCTTGGACAAATACAAACTCTCAAGATAGCATATAAAATTAGAAAAAAATTGGCTACAGTATAGCCAAATGCACAGAGTTAAAGAAAACTTTTTAATGAAGCCTTAGTGATTTACCTAAGTTTTCTGATTGGACTCAGTCATTGCATTATAAATGTATAAGATTTAAATAATCATAATCAAACACACATGAAGCAGTGAGGGAAAAGTCAAAAGCAATAAGATATCTAACAACTTAAATTTAATTTAAGTGCTAATAGATCTTTCCCTTTGAATCTGATGTGGGTTTTTTATCCCTTTGAACCTGATAGGGGTTTTTTATTTAGATATAAATCCATCGAACTGAAAATGGGGAGATGCCATGACATTTTGCAGTTACAATGGCTACTAGGGTTCAGATTAAAGTACTCATTTAATAGATAAAGAAATTTAACAACTTGGCCAAATTCACACAGCTACCTGATAGCACAGCAAGGAATAGACCTTATATATGATGATTTCCCATTATAATTAATCTGTCACTTGCTATGACTGTTTCTATTATCTAGGGAGTCTGTTTATAAAGGAATTGTGTAAGGGTCACAGAGATGAAACTTTTCCAGCAAAAATAATTCACAGACACAGGAATATTTCTGTATGAATCAGGATTTGCTATATTGATAAGAACATAAAATTACTGTTTTGCTTCTGACAAGAACTTACTCCAGATGCTCAAGAGAATGATGGGTTCATTTTGTCTTATTCCCATATGAAACTTCTGCTCAACATAGCCAAAGCCGGCCATATACCAATTGGTTGAATACATATTTAGAAATGCAATTTTTAACTTTCAAGTGAACTCTATTCACAAAATTAAAAAAAAAATCTAAAAACAAGATTGCTCTTCTTATATATATCTTGAAATCTTCAAAACCTTACATTTGAATGCCAACTTTAAGAGATTCTTTTCTTAGAAAAAAAATATAAGAAACAAACTCAAGTCAGACAGAACAGAAAGTAAAAATTAGTGAAAATTTAGACTAGCTATAATTAATTACAAGTTAATTAATTAATTACATTGAATGAGGCCCACCCATGGTATAATTATACCCTATTATAATTATGAAGTACTTAACAATATCACAATATTTTAAAGTATAAATCTAAATGGCAATAAATTCAATATAAAGTTTAATCAAAGAAAAGTCTGATGACATAAATTTAACTAAAAATTAAGACTATATTTAATATTTCTCTTGCTAGAAAATAACCTTATAAAATGTGTTATACCCATTATATCAATAAGATTAAAATATATTGTGGGACTGCAAATCATTGTTTTTCACTGTTTTCATGATATATGCCATGGATGAAAATAACACGGATGGAACCAGAGGGAATTATGCTAAGCAAAATAAGTCAGAAGAAGAAAGACAAACATTGGATGGTACTACATATATATAGAATATAGAGAAACCAAACAAAGGGTCAGATAAAGCAAAACTATAAAATTTTTTTCAAAGAATTTAAAGATCTAAATAAAACCCAAAATATCCTGAGTATGGAATAGAAGGTTTAACACTGCTCATATGGCAGAACTACCCATAAGGATTCCTACCAAAATCCCAACTTTAGTCTTTGTAGAAAATGATAAGTTGACTCTGAAATTCAAATGGAATTGCAATGGTCCCAGAATAGGTTTGGGTAATAAAAAAAGAGTAGTTTCTTTTTGAGGCAATGAAAAATGGTCTGAAGATGACACTGATGGTAAATACACACATATATGAATATACCAAAAAGCACAGATTACATTTAAATGGATGAATTGTATGGTATGTGAACTACATCTTAATTAAGCTATTTTTTTTAAAAAAAGATTTATTTATTTATGTATATAAGAGCTGGGGTGCAGGCCAGAGATGCAATGGGTGAAAGGATTCATCAGAGACAGAGTGGGGAGCAGAACAGGCAGATCTACTGAAATACACTGCTGAGGGGAGCAGTGGGCGAGACAGGAGAGGTCTGCTGCACTATGTGGGTCACCGCCCTGGGTGGGGATCGAACTGCTGTTGCAGTAGCTGTAGATAGTCTGGTAGTGCTACTTCTTAACCCCTTGCACCACCATGGAGGCCCTAAGTTATTTTTTTTTTTTCATTAAGCAGAATGAGAACAAAGTTAAAGAAAAGTTTAATTTCCTGTAAAGGTGAGAAGCTACGAAAAAGTACCAAGAGAGGTGACATTTGTGCTAAATATAAGTTTTAGCACAAGTTTTATTACTATGCTATAAGTCTTTAAAAATTTGAGAAAAGACAGGTAGAAACAATTAAGCATAATAACATAAACCTGAGCAAACTGATCTTGTGCTACAGTATATCTCTGTACTAAGAAAGCTCAAAAGTGAACAATTGTCTATTTTCCAATTAATTAGTTAAATAAATACACAAAACTTCAGTAAGTTATTTCTTGCTGGGCCTCCCTGGTGGTGCAAGGGATTAAGATGCAACTTATGAAGCTGTCCACAGCCACTACAGCATGAGTTCAATCCTCCAGCCAGCCAGGGAGCAATCCACATGGCGAAGCAAACCTCTCCTGTCTTGCCCACTGCTCCCCTCAGTAGTGTATTTCAGTCAACCTTCCTGTTCTGTTCCCCACTCTGTCTCTGAATCTTCTCAAACCCCCCCGCCCACATCTCTGGCCTATGCCCCATTTCTTGTATGCATAAATAAATAAATCTTAAAAAAAAGTTATTTCCTGCTATGGAGAATAACCATGAGGGACAACTCATGGTGAATTCTGGATTAAGGAAATCTAGACATATAGAACATTTTGAAGAAAACACAAAAAGAGCACAAAAGAAAATAAATGAACAAGCAAAAAAGAGACAGCAAGAAGCAATTAATTATTACAAAAATATTTTCTATATATACAATACAGTATGGCAAGTACAAAAAATCTTGGGAAAGGCACATAACGAAACTTTAATATGAAAGAAACAAATCCAAGATATCAATTTGAATATACTTATTGCAGTATTCTGTCATGAAGGAGAAAAATACCTATGGGTAGAAAACTTTTAAATTGGATGTAACAAGGCTATAACATAAGAAAATAAACAAAAATATTTATCAATCAGGGGAGTCATAAAATTTCTCTCTAAATTTCTGACATAAATGATGATACGTCTAATGAATAAAGCTAACCTTATAGTCATTAAGAAATTTTTTTTTATAAAGCCAAACCAATAACATGCCCTAAAATCTGGTTGTAAAACTCAGGTTCTGGGGGGAAGTGGGAGAAAACAACAAAGTGGGGAGAGAGCACAGTGGACTATGGTGAAGGTCTATCCATGATTCAGTGGCGAGTGCAATGTGGTACCAACACCTGAAGGGGGAGATTCTACATTTCTAAATCACAACATTGTAAATCAATGTTATGCCAATTGAAAAAAAAAAAGAAAAACATTTCTTAGTGAAGAATTTTGTGTGTGTTTAAAAGTATTTAAAAGACAATGTGTAATGATCTACATAGACTATCCTGGTATAATTATATTTGGCAAATGGTCAATAGTTATTGATTTAATAAATCACTCCCACAAGTTTTAATTATTCAAAACTAAGTACTAAAAATTTGTAATAAATAACATATTATAAAAATGATTGAACTGTAAGATACATTGAGTGGAAAACAAAACTCTCACAAACAGCAATTTCTCAGTTTTTTACTACATCAATTGCTAGTTTTATATATGTTCTTATGTAATTTCCATTTCTATTTGTATTTATTTCTTGGTATCTAGTCTGACTCCCTGACTGTCAATCTATGCACCCAGATAACATGTATACATGTGCACAGTGAAACTATATGGCCTAGATTTTCCAGAACAGTCCAGAATTCTTCATCAAAGCAAACACTACAATAGTCCCTGTCTCACAAAAAGTCTATATACTTATAGTTTTGAATAGTAACATTCAGAACTCCCAAACTAGGAACCAGAATATATTATTTGAAACGTGGTTTGAAAAATACCTTAAGAATGAAAAGTCACTAGATATAGAATTGAAAACTGTTGTACTCAATTTCTATATGGTAGTACAGAGAAGTAACTCTGTTTTTCTCAAATTACATAAACAAGGAAAAATACAGATAAATGATAAAACATTTCCTTACATTTTAAACCAATATCCTATGCCTTTTCCCTCCCCTAATACTTATCAAAAAACACTATTTTCATGGTCAATATAGTTGAATCCTAAAATCATGCTAAAGCATAAGAATCAATATGCATTTTTAAAATCAAACTAAAGACAATTTATAGTAATAAAATATATTAATATCAGTTCAAGTGGCTTAAAATTCCCTCATATGTAGCAGAAAAATGACCCTTCCAAATGGAAAGGAATTGCATCAACTGGTTTAAAAATAACAATGAAATAAAGAGCAGAACAGACAAGACTACTCTTGGCCTCTGGCTTCCTTCAATAAAGAAGTATTATAAAAGGAAGTTAGCCAGCATTGATATAGTAAAGAAACCTCCACTTTAATAAATCATTTTTTTTTTTTCAGGAAAAGGAAAAGTCTGCAAAATCTGTGAAAGTGATTTATCTTCAGGTGAGTAAAATGAACAGCAATTGATCTTGTACCTAGGGAGTGATTCCTCTTCCACCAGTTACAAATATATCTCTGTTAAATATCACTAGAATAGGTTAGGCAGTCTCATGTTTTGAATAATTTATTTGTGCATTTAAGATGAAGAATGTATTCTGAAGTTTTATACCAAATACCAACATTTCTATTATAAGATACTTGAGTGGCACCAAATACAGATCAGAAGAAAGTGCAGTGTCAGAGACTTCCAGGAGAAGCAATGCTGTAGCTGAAATTATGAAATGGGTTCAGATTCATAAAATGAAGGAAAAGAATGTTACAGGCAGTAGAGATTGTATGTTTAAACCATTGAGATGACTGACCATCAAATGTTTCAATTTACAGCATATAATTTTAAGAAATCATGAGTGTCTCCTACTTTATCCAATAAAGTAGATCATTCTGAAAATAAAGCTATTTATATTTCATGTTTGCAATCCTGAAATGCTGCAAAGAGATTAATAGACAAAGGAAAATTAGTTTATAAAATTATTTTTCATGCAGTTTCATAGTCTTTTAAACCCTTTCTTAGAAAGGACCTTTAACATTAAACATCATGATTGACTACTGTGAAATGTAGCAGTCTTACAAGGTTTATAAAATTACTCATGAGCTAGATTATATTCAGAAAAACATTTCTTAGAATTCATAAAATATCTAAAACCTCTTGGTTATTTTTTATTGTTTTGTAAACTTATCTTTTTTTCCAACAATATTTATTGAGGTAAATGTACATATCCTGGTGTTCATCAAATTTATGCTTAGCTAAATGCAAATCAAAACCATGATGAATATCAACTCACAATTGTTAGAATGGCTGTTATTAAAAAGTCAAGAAACAAATGGTTTCGGCGAGAATGTGGAGAAAAGGGAATCCTTGCACATTGTTGATGGTAATATAAACTGGTGCAAATACTATGAAAAACAGTATAGAAATTTCTCAAAATCATTAAGAATAAAAATATCATATGATCAACTATCCCACTTCTGGAAATTTATGTGAAAAATAAGAAAATATTAATTCAAAATGATATATGCATCCCTTCTGTTCATTGCAGCAACTAAGTTCATAATAGCCAGAACATGGAAACAATCTAAGTGCCTGTCAACAGATGAGTGGATAAAGAAGAATTGGTTATACAGTCATGCATCATTTAATGATGTCTCAAAGATGGACTGCATATACCACAGTGGTCCCAACAGGCTACATAATAGAGCCTAGGTATCCCACCTAGGTTTATGCAATTATACTCTATGACGTTCTCACCATGATAAGATCACCGAAAGAGGTATTTCTCAAAACACATTGCCATTGTCAAGTGACCCAAGGATATATACACAATGTTATAAGAGGAGAAGAAATCTTGCCATTTGCAACAACACGGATGAAATTTAGGAGGATGATGCTAAATGGAATAAGTCAGATGGAGAAAGACAAATACTGTATTATTTCACTCAGGTGGAAGATAAGAAAACATAGCAAAGGAATAAATAAACAAAAATAAACCCTTAGTTTCTAATATCAGAATAGTGGTTACAAGAGAAGAAGGATTGGAGGTGAGTAAAATGGATAGAGGGGTACACTGTATGGTGCTGGATGGAAACTAGACTTTTGGCCAGGATCACAATGCAGCATGTATAGATGTTGAAACATAAAGCTATATAGCTGAAACTTAAAAAAAAAAAAAACTAAACAGAAACAAGCTCTTATTATGAGAGCAAGCTAGTGGTTAATAGAGGGGAAGTGGTATGGACAAATCAAATCTGCTAAAAAGGGGCAACTGTATGGTGGTGAATAGAAACTAGACTTTTGGTGGGGATGATAATGTAGCATATACAGTAGCTGAAGTATTACATTGTATACCTGAAACTTACATAATGTTACAAACCAATGTTATTAAATAAAGTTTTCTCTAAAAATGCATATAATGAAATTATTGTCTCATGATGCCTGAATCCATTTGGATATAAAATGCAAAGATATGAACAATTAAGACTTACTCAATAACCAAGTACTAATTTTAGATTCACAATAAGCTACACAAAGAGTCCAGTAGGTTCCCATGTTACCTTGCCCCAGCTTCCCACAATGATAAGATATCCATAGTCCATTACCAAAGTCAGGAAGTTGACATTGGTACTGTGCTAAACTACAAACCCTATTTGGATAGTAGTTTTTACAGACAGTCTTTTTTATATGTGTCTGTGAGTCTATGAAATCTTAGCTGTATCGATTCATGCAAAAACTATCACAATCAAGATACAGAACTGTTCCAACACTACCAAGAAGTCCCTTTTGCATAATTCCTCTATAGTCACACTATCATATTTCTAATTTGCACATCTGAAAATGTTTTATATGCTTATTTGCCATTTTATATATGCTTTTATCATTTAACATTTTAAAACACATGCTCTGAGTAGTAGACATACAATATCTCCAAGTATGCAGTTAGCAATATGCACTTTTAGACAAATAAATAATATATCAGGGATAAAAATACAGAAAGATAATGAAGCCAAATGAATAATAAAAAGCACAGCAAGCATCAGCATAGAAAACAGAATATAATTTATTTAGAAAATATCAATGTATGGATGATCTGATTAAAGCAATTTATTATGATAACCCAGGAAAGGCACTTAAAAGTCATAGGACATGTAGCACATGCTGTCAGTATCCCTCCCACATCCTTTAGATCTAATCATTTTCCCTTGTTCCAGAGCACTTTCAACATGCCTGAGGGACTTTCCCCCGAACTGGTGAAAGTTGCTATGCCCGCCTGAGTACTAGGCAGGTGCACAGTCCTTTAGATTGCACTCCACAACTAATAACAGGAAACACTCTTATACTTCCACGAAGTTAATTCTGAAAATGAGTGATTCAAAATTTTCCTAAAGTATAAAGTTCCAGCAACTTATCATAGTTGCTGGATTAATTCTTTAACAGCTGCACTGTCTTCCCAGAATCACATCCTGCCACCCTTGCCAGAGTTATTGACATTTGCCAAAAAGGCTATTCATTCTAAAATTCTTGTCCTAGGGTCTGCTACTACAAAACTATCTAAATTAAACCACAAACAACAAACTAAGACTCCTTAAGAGTAAAAGTATCTCTTTAAAAAGTAGTGACAATTGATAAGATGTACATACCTTTTTTTCCACCTACTTATTTTCTTCACTTATTAACTACTATTTCAAAACTCTCTTCAATTGGAAATTAGCAGCACTTTCCTCTGCATATTGAAAACAATTTCTAGCAGATCATTGCATCAAAATTCAACAGTGAAAAATTATAGATGTCCATCAAGGGTTATTATAAAGCTTCAGTAATCAGGACGGCATATTAGAGAATCACTAGACATTGATCAATGAAATAAAATATAAAAAACAGAAATACAAACATATAATTGATATTTTAAAAAATTAGAGACAATTAAAGGGTTTAAAAAGATTTCAGGAATGGGTAGTGGTTAAAACAACTGGATCTTTGTATGCCAGAATGGGGAGTAGGTGGAAGACCTTTGTTCCATGTTTTACCCTACATACACAAAAATTAACTCAAATGATCACAGACCTATATGTAAGTAGTAAAATTATAAAATTTTTAGCAGAAAAATATTCTGACCCTGAACTAGGCAGAGTTCTTAGGTATCACACAGAAATATAATCAATAAAAAGCACACTAGCAAAATGAAGATACTGTTAAGAACATGAAAAGATGAGAAAATATCTGTAAATTATCTATCTGATCAAAGATTTATATTCAGAATATATAAAGAATTCTCAAAAATCAGTAAGAAAAAAGAAACAAAAACATTTTTAAGGGGGCAAAGATTTGTATAGAATGTCTCCACAGAAGATACAAGATAGCAAAAAAACGAAACCAAAACAAAAACATCATTAAGAAAGTATAAATTCAAGTAAAGACATACTAATCTGGCCCTAATATAATAGATAAATAACAAAAACCTAACAATATCAAACACTAGAAAGATATGGAGCCACAAAATCTCTTGCACACTGCTAGTGGGAATGTATAATGGTATATAGCAAACAGTTTGTCAGTTTCTTAAGAAATTAAATATACACTTACCATGTGACCCAGAAATCCCACTTCTAAAGAAATTAAAATGTATGTTAACAAAAAAGACGTACTATACAAAAGCAGCATTTATTTGTAATTCCCAAAATTGAAAATGTTATCAAACCAGGACTCCAGAGAACTAGGAAAGGAATTGTTAAGGCGGTTAGTTGCCTGAATGATTTACTCCCAACAAGGAAATTAAAATGCTTGACTGATTTACTTTAAACTGATTTACTTTAAAGTGTCTCAACTTATCTTGCTAACCAAATTCAAGGTGCTGCTGCTTTTATCAGACTGCTCAAGCAAGGAAGACCAATAGCATGTACAGTCCCAACCCTAAGTGACCAGAAGTAGCCAAAATCCCATTAGCATACTAAAATCTCTGCCCAGGCAGGAGATAAATCACCATTTTTTAGGACATATGACAAAACATGTTCTGCCTGCACAGATGTTCCAGTGTCACCTGGCATGCAAGAATCTTTTTTTTTTATTTTTATTTCAGAGATCTATCAGCCAGCTTCCTTACTTGTCACAAGAATAAAATTGTTTTTTCTTTGACAAACTTGGGGTCTGATCGATTGGCTAAAAACTAGCAAGCGACAAACTTCTTCCACTCAGTAACTTGACCAATCTGAACATTCTTCTGTTGGGGATAGATATAAAAGCTACAGTAGTGAGTATGATAAAATACTGCTTGGCCATAAAAGAAACAATCTGCTGATATACAACAAAATGGATGAATCTCAGATATATTTATGCCAAATTAAGGAAGTCAGATCTATAGGTATGTACACTGTATGGTTCAATGATTATATGTCAGGAACACAGGTGAGCTGGAGAAAACAGAGCTGACAGGTTTTGGAGTAGTCAATTAAGA